TATATGATATATATGATTAGAAATATCAACTAAATAACCTAAATGAAATACTTAAACAGTAAAGCACATGCCTTTTTAAAAAACAGACAAAACCCCTTTTCTCCACAGAAGTGAGATATACCACATAACTGGAATCATCTGCTGAAGCAGCCTCCCGAGGCCCACTTCTGTCCAGCTGGCCACACATTTGCTGTGCAGACTCCCAGACATGGTTGAACACCCCAAACACACTGCAGTTCTGCAAGTGGAAAGCTGTAGCTGTTTCATTAGACATAATTCACAGACAGTTTTGACTTACTTCCTCATCTTTTTTCTTAATTTCTGCTTGAACTTCCTCCAGCTCTTCCTGACCCTCATCCGGACTCATTTTCAAGCCTTCCCGAAGCATTCGGATGCCAAAAATTGCAAACAGCGCAGTTGACACGTAGTACGTGTACACACGAGGAATAACTGTTGTGGCGTAGCCAAACAGAACTGAAAGAAAACAAATGTGTATTTTCAAAATCAAGCATAAATATCATTATTTTTTCCCATACCTAAAAAATGCTCACTAGCAAAGTCTGAGATTCAAGTTTCCACTGATAAACAAGTGCTTTAAAAAAAAGTTTCCTATCATCTCGTATTTTTGCAAGACAACACTCCAGAAACTCCAGTTGTTACTGGTCATACCAGAGACTGAAGTCTATTAACACAGAGATGAGGTACACCAGGCAAAGTTGATGTGCTGCTATTCCAAAGAATAGCATACTGACAAAGTAAGTCCAAGCAAAACTGTCTTTTCACTCAAGGTCTATACAAATCCTGCTTTTCTCCAAGCAGATCAAGAGATTTCATCTATAACCATGTTACATTAGTCATGGCATGCAATACCAGTTAAATCTGTCTGTATGTATGGCTACATGTGGGATGGCATCTCTTTCCAATCTTTTTTCATTTATTTCAGACCTGTCTTTATTTATTGGATCAAGTCAGTAGTATTTTCTGCAAGATGGATTTACTAGACAAACCTGCTAACCATCCGGTTGCCTGAATTTACTCATTTCTTCTTTTGCCAAGTGCAAATACCTGCACATTACTATTCCTCTCTCCCCCACACTCCCCATAAACATGCATGGTGACAAAATTCAATTGTCCTTTAATATAAAAGCACTGATCCCACTCAAAGACTAAAGAACATCTCCACATAGCATCTCAGAGCATCTACTTTTATGGGTATCAAAGGTGATCAAACCAAGCCAAAACTAGCTCTCAAAAAGAAGGAATGTGCATCCAGGCATCACGGACATAAAAGGCCTGTGTAAATAAGAGGAAACAGCTGTTTGGACCACGCACTCACAATTAATTGTCTCTGCTGTTTTACTGCACGTGCAGTGAGCTACATGGAAGCGTATTACATGCCTTCACAGTTCAAAATGGGCTCAGAAGTTACTACACAGCCTGAAAGTTAATCCATCCACACTGCCGCTACCCCAAGTATGACTATCAGACCAAAATAGAGTTAGGCTGCAGTATTAGTGATCACAGTACATGCGCACATGAATAACAGCATTAGTTCTATTGCCAAGTAAAACAGAAGAATTTCACCTAAACTTGTTTTTAAAAGACTGAAAATACTGTAGTAAAGCCATGAAAGAAACTACACAGAAAGATGGTTTTAGCCTTACTTACCATATACAAAGCACAAAGACAATGTAATAATCAGAATGGTAAGGCAGCTTGTTATGTCACAAGGGTAAAAATGTTTCTAAGCACAGCTTGGAGAAGAAAAAAACAACACAACAAACCCACACACTGATTATTTGGAGCTAGTGAGTTTAAATGAGCAGGATTTCATGAAATCAAGGTAGAAAAAAACAAACAAAACAAAAACCAGGAAGTTCTAAACACAGCTTGCTGTGTTTGTAACAACAAGGGCAGAGAGAGGGAAGAAAGGCAGCTCCTGTCTGAATACAAAAAAAAACAGTTGGGAACCCCTAAACTAGGGAACAAATTAGAAAAAAAAGCTTTCATGGAAAAACATAAAGAAAGGAAGATTTGAAGGAAGGCTTGATATACAAAAAAGGAGGGCTGTAATGGACAGATGGCAGAGAGAGCTCACAAGCTACACACGGTGCACCATCACGTATGATACTAACTAAAGTTAAATGAAGCAAGCAGTGCAGCAGTGGAACAACGCTCAGAGACTGGTGTGACTAATAGCAGAGACTCTTATAATGCTGCCATTACACACAGTGCGAATGGAAACTGCTCTGAGACCGCAGTGATAATTGCAGCAATGCATACAGCAACACAGAGCAGTGGCTATACATCTGAAGAACAGAGAGGCCTGAAGCCTGTCCATAGGCTGCCTCCATTGTGTATAAACCAAAGAATGCTACTTCAAGTACTTCTGGAATAGGCATATTTAGAAAGGAGCACATACACAACAAACTACATGCTGCATCTGATATACCTGAAGGCTGCTCCATTTTATAATTACAGCTATGTAAGCACCCAGAGCTACTTGTTCCTCAAGTGCCATTTGACACCTCACTTCCCCTCCAGCTCTCCTCTGTCAGTACCATGCACCGCAAAGGATGAGGACAGAACGTAATCTTCCACTTGCACAGCTTCCAACCAGCTACACATATACAAGGCAGACAAGGGAAATTTGGCATTGTGTTAAGGATCTTTCACCTCAGGAGAAAAAAAAGTCACCCCTACAGTCTTTTTAGATGTGCTAATTTAATAGGTGCTAAAAATAGAGAGGAATGTAATAGCACAAAACCCAAGGAAGTACTTCAGACTTCCAATTCCGCTCCTTTCCCTTATATGCATATATATATGTCTAGGGAGTATAAACACCTAATTAGAGTTATGAGCCTAAATACTTGATTTGAGCTACAGCCCCCTGACAACCCTTCAGAATCTCCTCAAAACAGAAATATACCTCCTCAAAAAGCATATACCTACTACCTTTGATTTAATTTCAGTTAAGATGTATTGATAAATACATATTTACCCAGTACGTTTTAACAGACAAACAAAAACACTGCGAGGGCTAACCTGATAAACACGTCATCAGGCCTAAGGCAAGCATAGCACCAGCCAGGACAGTCAAACGGTTGTACCGCATCGCCATGATGGCCGCGATGAAGAAGGTCTTGTCCCCCAGCTCCGATACAATGATGACCGATATAGCAGCCACGAACGCATGAATAAAGCCCAAGTTAGTCTTGTCAGGTGACTCTTCGCTGACGAGGTGAACTGGAGCAACGGGCGAGGACCCCTTCTGTAAGGGAGAGACAAAACAAAACAAAGACCAGTTAATTAGGCTTGGACATCTGACTCCTGGAAGTACTGAGCTCAGTATTGCTCCTGCCATATGGTACAGCCTAGGGTGGCGTTGCAAGCGTGCAGCTCTTGTGCAGCATTAACTATCATTAACACCTTACTGGTGGCCACCTACCTTGGACTAAAAGTCAGCCGCTCAGCCAGAAGATGCTGCTCTGATTACTGAGGCAGTATTTCAGCTCGCAGGCTATTACCACTGCTACAGTGAAACAAGGGCAAAGCAGCTTTAGCTCAGCTCCAATATTGCTCTGCCTTTACAGTCTGTGCCTATTTACGTTCTGATCCTCGACCAAACAAGCAATTTTGGGATAAAAATAGTAAGAATTAGACTCTTCAAACAGCTCTTGAGCAATGATGATAGCTTAGGAGAATCGTGAAGCCCTCTGAATGTCTGTCAGGACCCCTTCCTTCTCTTGCAGAGCCCAAGCATCCCAACCACGTTAACATTTCATGCAAGTTTGCGTAAACTTTTTTGGTTATATTTTGTTTGCTGAAAACCATCTCTCCGACTTCCCAGCGGCCAGACCTGACCAGCACATTCCAGACTTTCCTTAATAATTAGTGTTTACGTTTTAAGAATACTGAGATACCCATCATCGAAAGCAGGTCCCCAGACAAGGAGGCTGCTGTTCACGTTTGACCAGAGAAAGTGGATCCGTGCATGAACAAGGACGGATCGCCGCCTGACAGGATTCGCAGCGCTGGACATTTTTGGGGTTGATTTTTAAACTTTTCATCCGTCATTTACCAAGCGGGGAGCGTGTAACTCCCCTTCCGCCCGCGCTCATCTGCCTGAGGTGCGGCGCCCCCAGCCCGCTGGGTTTCTCCTAACGGCCCCGGACCATTTTCCGTCAGGATTCAAACCCCGCTCCCCCCCTCCCCAACGCCTCACCTCGGCTCCCTGCGCCGCTCCCTGCGCCGCCGGCACCTTGTTGCGGCCGGGCTCCTCCTCGGGCGCCGCCAGCAGCCCGCCGGGCGCCGCCAGCAGCACGAGCAGAGCCAGGGCGGCGGCGGCGGCCGGCGGAGGAGCCGGAGCCGGGCCCGGGCGCAGGGGCCGGGGCCGTCCCGGCGCGGAGCGCGGCGCCGCGGAGCCCATGGCGGCCGAGGCCCGGCGCGGCGCTGCTGCGGGCCTCTTAAAGGCGCCGCGTCACCGGCAGCGCCGCGCGGCCCAACCGCCGCGCACCCAGAGAGGGAGGGGCTGCGCCAGGCCCCGCCCCCCGCCCCTCAGCCGCCTTTCCTCACGGGGAGGGCGCCCGCAAAAAGGGGAAAAACGGAATAAAAATGCGCCCCGATAGCTGGCCAGGCACAAAATGCGGCTCAAATGGCTCCCTGCACCCTCCTTTCTCCTCACAGTTTTCACACAGATACATATTTTCAATTACCACACAACAAGAAGCGTGTTATGTGTAACATAATTATAAAATACAAAATACTCAATTAGCATCTCTTCAGTTTTCATTACGGTCTTCACTCAGCCTCTTTATAGCTTTCATGATATACATATATACCTTACTCCTCGATTTTAATTAAGTCTTCAGTCAGCCTCTTCATATCTTGCATGATATACATACACACCTTACATTTCCCCCCCAAAAATCAACAACACTCATCAGATTATCATAAAAAAAATTCAGATTATCATAAAAATTATAATCTTTTAAACTAGAATCAGAAAAATGTGCACTTTCACTGCAGCTTTATTAAAATGTAAATTTTAATAAAATTTTAAATTGCTCAGTTCCTCATTGAAAACATTTCCAGTCTGTAAAAAATACTTTAGAAGACACATTTTAAAAAACAAATGGTATAAATGCTTTCCGATGCTTTGGGTAGGAGGTGAATTTTGTCTGGTAGAACTCGTGACACAAAACAGCAGCCAGCGCCTGGTTGAAAAGAACGTACGTCACTACAAGCCACCAGGTCACATTGTCAAGTCCAAGTGTGATGGCCATAGACACATATATGAGGAGTTCTGCAAAATAATGAGGGCAAGAAACTCTTTCAAACCAGTCTCCAAAAGGTATACTGTGGCTCAGACTTACGACCTTTCCTGCAAGCAAACAGAAAGAAGGAAGCTCAGAACAATATCCATTAAACAAATTTTTCTACTCACAATTATAGAACAACAAGCTCATTAAAATGATCATCACGCAGCTCCATCTGATCTGGCAGCTTTGCACTTCTTAATGAAATAAGGTATCACCTCTGGCTGTTTGCATAAATTCAGTGTAAGGAAGCCTGTTTTTAACCCCCACGGAAAAAGAAGTGACATCTCAGAGGAGTGACCCAAGTCCTAAGCGTGACCATTTGTCTTTAGGATAGCATAAGCCAGACCTTTGAATTAAGCTCTGAACACTCAGCTGCTCAATCTCTTCTCCAAACAGCTTCACTTAACCTGCTCAAAGTCTTAGAAAGGCTCCCACACTACAGTTACTAAAAAATACTGCTTTTAAGGTGTTAGAAGCTACAGAAGCCTATTGAAACAACCAGGAAAAAAAGTAGGGAAGTAAATGGCTCACATAAACGAAACACCTTACCTGATTTACTTTTTCTAAGATTAGATAGAATCACAAGACATCTGTGCTGGTGAAGAGAGGCCCAAATGTACACCACAATTCCTACAACATGATACCAGCAGATCTGCATGGAACTTCCTTTTCCTAAATGAAATATGCTTCATTAATAAAAAGCCAGTAAATACCTTCCCAAGCACTGTCCCCAAACACTGTACGCCTATTTTACATATTATTGTCTTACAAAACTTTAGTAGTGAGCCTCTTATCACTTGGAAGATGTTTTTGAGTCCTGTGTGATTTAAGTACTCAGCTACTAGTTCCTTTCCTTTAACTGCTCTACACTAAAAATATCAAAGACCTAGTTTTTAATCCAGTAGCTTGAAGTATATTATTACGTGTAACTCTTGTATGACTTGCAGTCGAAAACCTCACCATTCAACTTTGTTTATAATTCTTACCATCCTAACAAAAGATATTGTCATGTCTCAGGTCAACATATAAGTACACTTGTATGTCTTATTCACAGGGAGTGGTATATATAGATATATGCTCCTATCCACACACACTGTAAACCACTTAAGCCATCAAAAACACCGCATTAAGGATGAGGTCCAATGTGCATGTTAATGTACCAGCTCTGAGAATCTACAAGATGAGAAAAGTAGAAAAATGTGTCCAGATAAAAAAGGGTTTTACGTACTCATAGATGACCTGAAGGTTGTTTTTACAAGTAACTGGAGCTGATGTGATTGGAAGTGGTTAAAAACGTGACTAAAGTTACATACTTGGTAACAACCATTTTCCATAAATTGGTCATGGAAGAAGTGCTGCAGCCAGTGGAAGTGTTGCAGCTCATGGTTTATCTGTGCAGAGGAGCAAATAAGAGTTCAGTCGGGAGCCTCAGTGGAATGCGTTGGCAGAAATAGGTCATATAATACAAATTACTGCTGTATTAATGCAGCCATTACAGCACCAAGGGAATGACGAGTGTGACTGGTGTAAGGCAGAGCAGTGGGGAATTCTGAGTGGAAGGCAAAGGAGTTGGCCAAGACGATCCCACCTTAGTAGGTCCACCCTACAGGAAAGCCTACAGCAAAAAAGGAAACTTTATTTTAACTGGAGTTGTGTAGTAATATTTGAGAACTGGCACCGATTATTTTCTTTCTTAAAGCAAATGGATCTTAATGGCAAAACTGATCTGTAATGCTACTGAAAGTATCATCTACCATGAGATGGAATAACAGTGAATTTCAGGGAACTACAGTGGTGGTTAACATAAAAATGAGTAAGCAAGTGAGTGTGAGTCCGTGTGAGTAATACCGGTTGATTATTATGCAACATACTGAAGTGTAGTTACTTTGGACTATGACAGTACGTTATTTTTACTTCTCACCAATTAACACACTTCTCATGTAAGCCCTCTGTGAAATAAAGTGAACTGTTTGCCATGATGGAAAGAAAACGGAGCAAAAAAATGAAACTGGTAACAAGTAAGCAGGTACTTACCATGCCTGACATTAATAGGCACTTGCCATAGCACAGTTGTGCCAAGAACAATGTAGTAACCAAGCCCAAAGCAATACTGCACAACATGAATGACGCCATCGGAAAACACACTGGTACAGAGGCACTCTGCAAGTCTTCGAAAGCTATGCAGCCAAAGGAGCAGGAGAACCAAAAGTGCAGAGAAGTGTTCGCTATCTGCTTACAAATGAAAAATAGTGACTTAGGAATAGCTAGGACCAATTTTACCCCTTCAAAAGAGCTAATTTTCCCCTCCCCACAGCAAAATCTTATCCTCTTTTTAAACTAACCTAGCACTGGGAAAAATATTTGCACATCTGAGACACTGCTGACCACAGTGATTGCACAAGACTACATGTAGAAGGTAAAAATGGCCCTTCGTACTAAAATGAGTGCTGAAAGCTATTATATTAATAAATTAGAATGATTTCTACCTTAAATAAAAACAAAGGGACTTGGTATTCTAGGAACATTACCTGGAGCCTAGTTTAAGAGCAGCTGATGAAATAGCACAAGAAGAATACTTATCCAGCAAAGGATGGTAGTGCAGTTTTGTAATATTTATATGTCTGCTTTACAGTAGCTGGAATACTTGCCTGTGTTCTGGCTCTGCAAATCTCTGCCAAAAGCACTGTGCAATTGCTGCATCCATGGTGGGAGTGCTGCTCCAAGGAATTTAGCTTGGAAAAGCTCAATCAGCAGAAAGCCATTCCAGAGTACAGAAACTATATAGAAGTGAGTAAACCACCTGTGGGAACAAAAAGCATCTTCATTACACTTAATGTTCTCGTTATTTTTTAGTTGGACATGTAGCTGCAGGACACACTTGTCTGATGGTCAGCACGTGCCTTTTCGTCTCACCCATCAATGAGCAGAGAACTCAGGACTCAGCTGTACCAAGCAGGCAAAACCCTAGCATCTCCCCCCTTAAATGCACAGGCAGCACACATCTAACTTAGCTGACCTCAGCAACTGTAGCTGCACTAAGAGAAGGTGTAAACCATGCACTGCAAAGACATTCCTCAATACTCACAAATAATCATGACTTACACAAATTTTCTTCATAATTTATACCACTGAAAGCATGTCTGAAATGACTTACTGGACATTTCCATGCTGTTGCTCAACAGCAATACAGCAGCCAAGTCAGAAGCCAGCAAGTTTCCTTGCACAATTCAGAACAACTTGACCATTGCAGCTGGTGAGCTTTCAACAATCTCAACTATTCTGGGGATGCTCTGTAGGTCAGACACAATCCAGCACTACAGTAACTACGTGTCAACCCTCAAGGAGAGAGGAATGGTATGCGTTTGCCAAACCAACCTGAAATGAATCACAACATTTGACAAGATGGAATAGTAAAGTTTAAAAAGGTCTAGGCTAGTGAAAATACAATGCTTGTTTGGAAATAAGATGCAGATGTGGGGAAATAGAAAATGTCTCAAGAGTTAGCTTCAGGATCTTCTGTCCTCCTTCAGCCAGCATGGTTACAGGTTCAATGCTGCAGTAGCAGAATCGCCTTGTAGATGTTGAGAGCCTGAGACCAATTCACTGAAAAAGCCACATTCTTCAGATAGCATCTTCCCTAAGAAGAGGTGGTTAGAAACTTCTGTTGAAGACAGATCAACTCAAATCAGACCCTACCTCAAGAATACCTTACTTTGCAATACACTGCACCTAAACCAAAGCTTTTATGAACCCTTCTTTTTGCTGTGGATACCACAGAGCCTAAATGCACCTGTGGGAATTTTCTGGAGCAGAAGCTTGATAACCAAGATACAACATTATAACCCTGCCGTGAATAATATGCTGTGTCACAAAAGCTTTTTAAACATTTGTTTTGAAAGCTGCATATGTAAACTGTGTTACTGATAATGAAGTTATATCAGGGATGATCAGGCCTTTGGGTTAAGCAGCACCCCAGTCCTGTCCTTCTGGACCTGCAAGCTCCCGTCACGCCTATGTTCAAGTCAAAGGCTAGTTCTGGTCAAGAATCTCAGGTGATCAAAGCAGTGAGATCCCAGTAACGCATAAAAAGCTTGAGAGGCGTTTTTTTTTTTCCCCGTTTCCCTCTCTTATCCTATTAAAAAACATCTATTAATAAGTCTTCACAGCAATTTGTTTCAGCATCTGTTTCAGAAAAAAAGGTGTGTTTGAAAAACACAACAGTTCCTTTGCCTTGTTAGACTGTGCATACAGCACTCGGATACTTAGATTAACATCCTGTTATCAGGATCCTGTGGTATATTTTGTCAAGAAACCCCGAAGGAAGAAGACAACAACAGACTTGATGATCCTTGTGGGTCCCTTCCAACTTTGAATATTTTAGGACTGAGAACTGATTTCAGAAAGCAACCCCAAAGTATGTTTGAATAGTCACATTTACACTCAGGTGTCCACACTCCCAGGTCCCTGATCTCGTCTTGCTGGAAGGTTTGTATAGGTACAGCATGGGACTGGGGTACAAGAGAGTACGCTTTTATTCCAGTTTGGGGCATATGATTGAGGTCTCTACATTTATTATCCATAAACAGAGAATAATAATTTCTCAAAAAAATGCGGCTAACTCTGTAAAAATAAGCATGTTCCTTAGAAGCCATTACTGAGGAAGACAGAGTAAGCACATAATGCACTTCCAGCATCATTCAGTTTGCATATGAGACTTCAGCAGGTCTGATCTGAAGCAGAGTTTTCCACATCTTTCCACTCAAAGTCTTTTCCAAAAGATCTGCATAATAGTACAACGTGCTTCTTGCTGTCAGCTGGCTCCTCAACAAGTTCTGATCTGCAGCAAGGGATTTTCAGAGCCTCACCGAAGATCAGCGTCCCACGGGAACCACAGACTTGGCCATTCCGCAGTGCCAGTGGGCAGCCTCCCAGTACATATGAAAGGGACCCAAACACACTTAGGCTTTTGGTAACATCCTGAGTATCTGGTAACACTCCATTTTGCGTAGGCTATTTTGCAATTAATTGAAATACGCGTTGCATAAGGCACGCAGCATTCACTCAATAGGAGAAAACGCAGCATTTCATTGCGTGCTGAAACACTTCTCTAAGCCTGTGCCCTACCTCTCCTGCGACCTGTAACACCCCCCTCCACCCGCAGACCCCACTGGGAGCACTGCAGGAGACCCTGAGGGGCTTTCAGAGACCACCACGCCGCCCGCAGCCACCACAGCCCCGCTCACCTCTTGGGCACCTGGCAGCGGCGCAGCCATGCGGGGCGCTGCCCGCCGCCGTTCTTGGTCTTCCCGTAGCGGATGAGGTCCTGGAAGAGGCCCGAGGCGATGCCACCACCACCACCGCCTCCAGGCCGCCTCGCCTGGGCCCGGTGCAGCAGCAGCGCCGCCAGGAAGGCAGCGGCCAGCAGCGCCCAGGCGGCGCCCGGCCCCGCCGGCATGGTCCCGGCCCCGCCGCCCGCCCCGCTCCGCCCCGCTCCGCCCCGCTCCGCCCCGCTCCGCCCCGCTCCGCCCCCCGGCCCGCGCTGGGTGATGGCGGCCAGCGCCAGGCCTGAGGGCCCGGGGCTGAGGTGGCGGCTGGCCGTGAGGCAGCAGTGTGCCCTGGTGGCCGGCAGGGAGAAGGGTGTGCTGCTCAGCCGGGAAGGGAGACGACCGAGGGGAGGGAGCGCTCGTGAATGTGGATAAATATCTGAGGGGAGGGCGTCGGGAGGCTGGAGGCGGTCTCCTTTCGGTGGTGCCCAGCAACAGGACGAGAGGCAAACTGAAGCACTGGAAATCCCAGCTGAATATGAGGAAACACTTTAGTGTGAGGGTGACAGAGCGCTGGCACAGGTTGACCAGAGAGGCTGTGGAGTCTCCTTCTCTGGAGATATTCAAAACCCACCTGGATGCCGTCCTGTGCAATGTGCTCTGGGCTTGTTGGACTACTTGATCTTCAGAGTTCCCTTTCAGCCTCGGCCAGTCTGTGATTCTCTGAAAAGCCTTTTATTGCTTTTCTTTTGTCTTGAGAAACCAAGACTTCAGAACAGCCTGGCACCACAGGGAAACAGCCCCCTTTGGCCCCAAGTGAAAAACATCCTGCCCGCACCCCTCCTCTGTGCACCCCTCTTTTTGTCATGCCAGTGTTATCTGGAGTAAAGTAACAAGTCAGGAGGAAATTGCTGAACCATATTTCTAGGCCTTTACATACAGAGCAGCCTAATTTTTTAGCCTTTAGTGCTACTTCAAACAACCCTCAAGTCAATAAATCAGGAGGACAAAGCAGCAGCAACCACCGTGTAGATCACAGAGATTTGAGTACACGTGGGTTTTTGACTTTGAGTGGAAGTTCCCCAGTGGAAGTACATGCCTTGTCTGCATGCTTGTAGAGTGGTACCTCCAAAGCTCTGAAAGATGTTAATGACTTTTTCCTATACTGGACTGAATTATGTCATTATAAGCACTTTAATTGAATCCCAACCTGCTGCAAAATTCACACTGTGTTTTTGTGTGTGTGTGGATCAGGCTTGACTGAAAGAAAATTTTTAAATTTTACTGATGCACTTTCCTAAACATGAGGTGTAAGCCTAAATGATTTTGAGGATGCATTTATGACTGTGTTAATTCATCCTATCAGTGGATCCTGCAAGGCAGCACATGCTCAGCTAAAGCACTCCTGGCATCAATAATATTGCTTTGGGAAAAATAATCACTGAAGCTCACATTTTCTGCTAAAACATATGATGGTAGCTCTATGATTATATACACATAATGTGCTGTAATAAATATTTTAATGTCAATATAATTTATGTCAAAGTTCGGGACTGAGTCTGTTTTTCTTTCAAATTCAGTATAACAATCACAAGTCTGGTTTGGGGATTGCATGCCTAATTGTTTTTGATAAACAGCATGAGAAGAAGGTAAGCATATGACTAAATACATAACATATTGCTGTTACTCTCATTTTTAAAAAACTCAAATGGCTGGTAGCTTCACTCAGAATTTAGTAAATTAAAAAATAAGATAATAACATCAGATTAACTTTTTGAATATTTTAGCGTAAGGGTGAGAGCTGATTTTATCTGAATCCATCATAAACTTTACCACAAGTTTTACTGAGAGCAGAATGAGCTCCTACACCTGCCACCCCCCTGGAGATGATTGCCACCTGGACATTGGCCGTCCCAGGCCAAACTTTCCAACTCCACATGCGGATGCTTAGGCTACCATGAAAGAGCCTCAGATTTCACCTGTCAGCAGCCCACCCCAAGCCCCATAGTGTCCCCATGAGTTATCACCACTGCTGTAGTGGATCAGAGATTGCAGGTGGCAGATTTAATGGAGGAGGAAAGGAGATAACATTATTTATGCACTGGTTCTTCCGTGCTTGTGGGTGTTTGTTCTGCCCCTGCTCTCCTGCAGAGCAACTTTAAGTTAGGTGGGCAGGTGCTGGTCTTCAGCAAAGCTGGTGATGGGCAGAAGGCTGTGAACTTGCAGTCTCAGGGATTTCTTGACTGCATCCTTTGGACATCCTGGATGTCCAAGGCACTCCTGCCATCCAATTCTAGTGGCCTACAGTGCTTCAGCAGCGCAGTGAACCATGATCTGACCTCAAAATGTAGTCAGATTGCTGGCTGTTTCCTCAGGGTGTAGAAAATTGGAGGAAGAAATGGAAGGAGGACAGCTGTGAGGCTGGGAAATGGCTCGAAGGAGAGAGAAATTGCCAGTTGGCTGTCTTAAGTACGTGTTCTATATTTAGATTTGCAAGTTGTGGTGAGGACTATGACACCTTTTCAACACAAGTTGTACTCTTCTACTCCTTGTTATTGTGTATAATTTTTTCACAGTGGTAAGTACCATTCTCTATGATTTTTCTTTAATACTATGCATCTGAGGCACATTATTGTGTCCATGCGCGGTGATTTTCACACTTTTTATGCGACTCGTCCCTCTAGGTGGCACCAACACTCTTTGGTTCCTCGAGTGCCAGAGGAACCTGCCCTGTGCTGGACCTTGTCCAGCTTCCAGCAAGAGCCCGAGGTGCCATCAACCACCCACCCCTTGGCCAGAAGCTCTGCAGGGGCTGGCACTCGCAGTCACTCCAGGCTTTGGAAATCCTGAGCAGCTCATATACCGTGATCATTTGAAAGCTTTGGGCAAGTATGGCTGTTTGTGGCTGCTTTTGGTTGAAAATATTTGTGCACAGATCTACGACACTGTTTTTAGCTCAATGGATGGAGTTCAAGCTAACTTGACTCATCCAGAAACTAGCTGAAACTACTTAGCTTGGTTCCTAGCGGGGACAGGTCCCTCCAGAGTGCCAGGGTTTTCATTCCAAAACCCAGCCATCTCTCAGCTGTAGAGCAGAATTATCCTCCCAGGCAGAGATCTTCCTGATGGAAAGAGAATCTTGAAGGATTCAGGATAAAAATGGCCTTTGTTATTTATGCTCCTAGATCTAGGGTTATTTTGGTGTGTTTCATGCAAAGAAGCATTCGGTGAGATTAGAAGAAGACATCACTTTTTCACAAAGGCACAGAGCATGAAGAGTCATCTTGAGAAGTAACTGCTTTGAGTTGCCTGCCTGTTGCAGAAGACGTGCCAGGACAGGTTATACTGTGAGGAACAAAAATGAGTATTGGTCACTGGTCAGCCCAGAGCAGATTTCACTGCAACTCTGGACTTGATAGACAAACCAAATGATTTTATAGGGTGATTTTATTTTATTTTATTTTATTTTATTTTATTTTATTTTATTTTATTTTATTTGTAAGGGAGGACAGGGAAACCATCCAGTTATCCAGATACTTTTTGCTGGTTGATTCAATCAGATTTTTTTCCAAGGTAGTTTTTAATTTGCTAACAAAGCCCAAAAAACTTTGTGATTAAAATAGCTACAGGTGGGTGTCCTGATAATCTCTGTGGGACACGATTCAATTAGAATTTAGGACAAGGGCAACCTTAAAAGTATCAGTTGAGGCCATGGTCCTTCATACATTTATGAACGTGCTAAAAGCCAGTGTGGGTGGAGACCCTAAAATCTAGATACTCAGCTACAGGGCATGGTGATCTATGTTAAGTTGTTTAGTACCGGAAGGTCTGGGGATTTTAATTAGTAAAAAGAATCCTTGATTCAACTAATTAGCACCACTTTTATGATTTATGGGAAAATAAACCAAGAAAGCCATCAGATTGCTACATTTTGAAGGTTAAAATACTGGCCTATGTCTACTGGTTTTAATTGCTGGAAGACAATACCAAGATGGTGGGGCCAAGAAAGCATAAATCACAGAGCACACAAAATAAAGCATGCTTTGAGATGTGAGAAACTTACTCCAAAATGCACTTCCCACAATTCAAGGATGACTGCATGTCCTTGGCTTTCCAGTTAGAAAACGTGAGTGTTCTCAGTAGCTAATGGAAAGCAGGAATTGCTCGCAGATAAGACGAAAAGTCCCATGCCCAATCGGTGCCGGACTTGCAGGAGGGCAGGAAGCAGCGCCCACGTCACGCACTTCATGAGACTGGCGTTGGCAGTGTGCTGCATGAGCAGCTTCATGGGGAGATGCAAAAATCTCCACTTTCACATCATGCACAGTTTGGTAGGCCCTGCGGTCTTCTGCAAAAGATGCAAAGATGGTCACTTTCAAGTGAGGAAATGGCTGTAGTGTTATGTGTACATGGCAATCTCAATGCAGAACTCATACGCATGAATCCATGGACTTCAAGGTGTGACTTTACATCTCTTAGAGATGTGTGTGATGCTAAGAAATAGGACGTGCTCACTATTCAGCTATATTATTTGCTGAGTTTCCACTGATCACAGCTAATAAGTATCTTTCCAACATGGTAGGCTTGGAATCTGAGACTGGTTGGAGTTTCAGCCTGGGAATAAAACCAGCTTTCTCACTGCTCTGAAGATGTATGATATAGTTTTGGTTGTTGGCTAGCTGTGTGCTGTGAAGGCTGTCTGGGCAAGCTGCTGTTTGCTGTATGAACCTGGATTTGGGGTTTCACAAGAGTAAACTAACCTAAGGAAACTTGCAAGGGAGAAAACTACCTAAAGCTCATATAGAATCCTTTTGATTTGCAGAATAGCTTACTGAGAAATAAATACACCTTTAGTTAAGATTATAGGTAAGTGGTGGTTAAAAAGAGAGCAGGTCAGACAACTTACAATTTCCAGGGATGCATCATTATTGATTTCTTTGTCAAAGTGCACTGATCCATGACACAACCCCAGGGCTTGGCAGGGGCAGAATTCAGACCCTTAATAGTAGCAAGGGTTCAAATAATTGTCTATCTCTGCACCTAAATTTTCAACGAATTTGTGGAAGCTGTGCTTACCTGTGACCACCATATATATATAATTTTATGTTATTTTAGAAATATGCCAGAATGTCTGTGCTTGCAAAATGATAGGGGTTTTCCTAGAATAGACAGATTCTGGCACAGATTTGGCAATAAAGCTACAAGTGAACCTGGCAGGCAAAG